GGAGGAGGAGGAGGTGGCGGCGGCAGCGGCGGCGGCGGCAACGGCGGCGACGGTACGAGGGGGGTAGGTGGGTGCCGGACGACGGGGTGGGAGACCAAGTTTCGCGGACGTGGTCGAGGACGAGGCAAGCGAGTGTACGAGGAATGAAGCGACTGCGAGAGCGCGACGTAGGACAGATCCTTTTTCCTCCGACTAGCGACTAGTAGGAGGAGGAATATGACGGCGCGGGAGAGGATGGGGCGCGGTAGAGAGATGGAGGGATTCGAGGTAAAGGCGAGAGGAGGATATACTGCGCCCCTACTTCTCTAGGGGTTCCATTGTAATATTTATTGATTGGATTCCTAGGAGCCCAGGCTGTGAGGGCTGTGGCACCTATGCTTGGACTAGATTGCGTACGAGCGCTCGCGATGTTCCTCGATCGAGCCGTCACTTTTTCTATCACCCTTTTTCTTTCATCTCTTTTGCCTCTTTTTTTTTCATATACCTATCAACGTTCTCTCTCTTTCTCCCCTCCCCTCCCATTCTCTCTATCTTTCTTTCTATATATGTGTGTGTGTATGCGCGCGCGCGTGTGTGTGTGTGTGTGTGTGTGTGTGTGCGCGCACGCGTGTGCGTGTATGTGTAAGAGATCCACGTGGTCACAGATTTGCGTAAATGCCTGTAGCACATTCCGAACGAGCGGCACGTGTCGCGCGATTGCGACAAAAAAATCACGAGAGGCGAATTAATTACAGGATGAATAAGAATTGAGATATTTCGAATTTAAATGATGTAATCGTCAAAGAGGAGGATTTGGTACCTTCCATGAAAGTCTTGTTGATAAAAAATAAATGATTCGGAAAGAATGGCGATTTAGATGAACAAGTATCCCTGATCCTATTATAAATTCCCATTATAAATTGCCGATGGCTGCGGAGAAATTAAATTATGTTAACGATTAACAATCTCAAAACGAAAAGACGATTGCGATAATTATAATTTCAAGTTTTATTTGTATTTGCGTTTTTTTTTCGCAACAAAATATTTACGCAGATTTTACCCAACGAGTTTCACGAGAAGAATTTAACTTGTCCCCGTTTCGTCCTAAAAGTTATTTCAGCGCATAGACTGATGCAAAATTGTCGACCCGTTTAGTAATATTTGATTTTAACGAGCGAGCATCAAATCGCATATATGTATATTAAGAATGCAAATTCGCCAGGGTCGTAACATTATCGTTTCTCGACGACGAAGCGCGAAACATATATGCATAGAACGTGGCAGGAACTTACTTTCACTGGCCTTCCGTATATACATTTGATGGTTTCACATATACATAGAACGACTAGTCCGATCACGTGACGCTGCGCCTCGCTTGCAGGCTCGTGTCTGCATCAACGAGAAGCAGCAGGTGTCCAAAAGCAGAGGTGACCAAACCACGGGCGAGAAGGAACGAGAGAGAGAAAGAGAGAGAAATATGGTGCGCGTATATATTTGAATGTATGTATGTGTCCATGTATCTGCGAGAGATAGAGAGAGGGAAAGGGAGGGGAAGGGGGGGAGAAGAGACGAAGATGGAGAATGTGCGCGCGCGAACAGTGCGAAACTGGTAATCCTTGATCTTACATGACGTAATAAATCCTTACCGAATACGGGAGTTGCGTTAAATGCAAAATATCTCATGATTCGTGAGGCGAGCTCCAAAGAACATGATCGCGGCAAAGATTTATAACCACATGTAATTGATTTTAATGAATATTTCTCGCAGATTTGGTGAATTCTCAAGGATATTCTCAAAAGTGAATGCACACACACACACACACACACACACACACACACACACACACACACACACACACAGTACGCACGC